CGCAAATATGCGTTTACCCCAGTAAGCCTGCTCACGCAGTTACTGTGCAAGGTCAGGGAGGATGAGAAACAGGTTGCTGGTTGCGCCCCTCTGGCCCAACCAGACCTGGATGTCAGAGCTCTCCCTCCTCGCATGGCCCTCCCTGGCAGATCCCTTTGAGAGAGCGCCTACTCTCTCAGGGACAGGGCACCATCTGGCACCCTCGCCCCGATCTTTGGAACCTCCTCGTGTGGTCCTTAGACGCAAGGAAGACTTTAGGTAACCTATCGATTGCGGTGGTTAATACCGTCACTTGGGCTAGAGCCCCCTCCTCGAGCGCGCCTATGCCCTGAAGTGGAGTCTGTTCACTGAATGGTGCGTCTCTCGCAGAGAAGACCCCGAAATTTGCCAGATCAGCGTTGTGCTTTCTTTACTCCAAGAGAAGCTGGGGAGCAGGCTGTCCCCCTCCACACTCAAGGTTATGTGGCTGTCATCTCTGCTCTCATGACGCGGTGGCTGGCAGCACCGTGGGAAGGCAAAACCTCATCATCCGGTTGCTTAGAAGTGCTAGGCGAATTAATCCACCCCGCCCCCCTTTCATGCCCTCTTAGGATCTCGCCCTCGTTCTCACGACCCTGCATCAGATCCCTTCGATCCTCGACTCAGTATCTTTAGGATTTCTGTCCCTAAAGACAGCTCTGCTGGTCGCGTTGATATCGATTTAGAGGGTCGGGGACCTGGAGGCATTTTTCGGTCAGTGACTCATGCCTGTAATTCGGGCTGGCATACTCTCACGTTCCTGAGACCCCGCCCGGGATATGTGCCCAAGGTTCCTACCACATCGTTTTAATACCAGGTAGTGAGCCTGCAAGCACTGCCCCCAGCCAGGCAGACCCAGCCCCTTTCATACTTTTCCAGTTCGCGCTTTGCGTATTTATCTGGACCGCACTCAGAGATCATCTATGCAGCTCTTCCTCTGCTATAGTGGTCGGCAGCAGGGAAGTGCCGTATCGAAACAGAGGTTGGCCCACTGGATAGTGGATGCCATCTCCCTCGCTTAGAGCCAGGGCGAGCCGTGTCCCCCGAGAGCGTGCACACTCCACTCGGAGCATCGCATCCTCTTGGGCCTGCACGCGGCGCCTCTCTAACAGACATCTGTAGAGCTGCGGGCTGGGCGACACCTAATACATTTGCAAGGTTTTACTATCTGCGAGTGGAGCCGGTTTCCTCAAGGGTATGAGGTAACCCTTTGGTGATTGAGGAAACAACTCGTTTAAGGTGTTGAAACACGCTCGCTGCGCCATTCTCCCTAACATGGAGATACATACGCTTTTTCATCTTTCAGTAAAGTTCCCCGTTAGGTGAGCCCTGCAGATTCCTCCGAGGCCCCCAGCACTGACTCAGCGGAGGAGTCACTCGCTGGCCCATTATGTTGTAGGTCTGCCCGCTGGTCAGCCTACGTTTTTGGTATACTGTAGGTGCCCGCTATGCGTGATCCTCACTAGGCGATCCCATATGCTTATTCAGCCACGGTGCAGTCCCCCCTCACGAGCGGACCCGTGTCTTCCCTCTCTGCTAACCATCTTTTAATATGCACACTCCCCCTTCTCAGGGCTAGTCCATATATTTTGCCATCATATCTCCCCATTGGGTGCAGTTGGCCTCCGCAGCGTCCTCCCTATCGGGACTGCACGCTTTCCCAACGTACTGTCGTATTTTCCTAGAATTATCTAGACGCTTGCGACTCCCAAAAAATATATCTAAATCTGTAAAACTTCTTTGAAGTGGGATAAGTAAGGGCCAGGGATCACGTTGGAAGACCGTAGCCCCTTTCACACATACAGACCTTTCCGGAAAATTGCCGGCAATTTTCCGGAAAGGTTGTATGTGTGAACAGGCCCTTTTTGAAAATACCGGTAAATTCGTTCTGGCTATTTTCCGGAAAGAGAAGTTGTAACATTACCGGTAATTTGCCGGAATGCTGCGCTGTGTGAATGCAGAAGGTAGATTGCCGTAATAAGCGCGTGCACGTCTAGAACGTGCTGACGTAAGACGTCTGCTTTAGCCAATCACAACAGTCAGACGCATTTACGTCCTCGCGGTTTATGAGAATAAAAGCCTTTGAATATTTTTCCAGACACATTTAGCTGCTAGAAGTTAGTCAGATCACGTTTATATGTTCTTCTTAATGCCAACTGTGTAAATAATCATCGATGAGATGCTTATGATAAGCCGTTGTTTGTTTACCTTCAAGCTTTCGTATGCCTGTGAAACAGCCTGTGAGCGCCTGCACACGCAGATATTATGAACATCTCGACATGCGAATGTGATCCTGCGAAAGTTGTTCACAATATTGATCATCCACAGAGTTTGTAATTTAGTCAAATGTTTACAAATACAAGCGCAGCCGTTTAAAGCTCATTTGTGGCGAATGATGTCAGAATTTACCGGTATTTTGGAATGGATGTGTGAACGCTCTTTTCCGGAAAATTTCCGTAATGTCCTCGCCTGTGTGAACAGCGCTTTTTTGAATATACCGGTAAATTCGTTCCGGAAATTTTCCAGATATTTACCGGTATCACTGTGTGAAAGGGGCTCGTGCCTCTCTTTGATGCAGGAGCGATCGCGCTATGCCTGTCTATTCTCTCATCAGAGGCAAAAGTAAGGTGCAGTCATTATGGCGTTTTCCAGACATTTCCCCCATTCGTGGATTAAAATCCACTAATAGCATTGAAGTTCCTCATCCGAAGGCTCTGGTTACTAAAGTAACCCTCGTTCCCCAAGAAGGGGAAAGGAAATGCTATATAGCATTGCCATAATGATTGTTCCTTAGCTGTAAGTGTCAGTCTCTTCAGCTTAAAAGGATGGCGTTTCCTTGCTTTTCCTGTGCTTGTATGTGGAGCTAATTGGCAATAAGCTCCAGGTGCACAAGCTTACGCTGCCAACTCATTTAGCATTTCATTGGCCCGTTATATACTCTTTCAGATGATTGGCTTTCTAAAACGAAATCCCCCATTCGTCGATTAAAATCCACTAACAGCATTTCCGTTCCCCGAGGAGGGTTACTTTAGTAACCAGAGCATTCTCTTTCATACATTAACATGACAGAGACCCTAAGGGTTCTCTAAATGCAAATGATCAAAGTTCTCTTACACTTGCAAATTTGAGTAAAAAAAAAAAAAACACGGTAAATGCAGATTGAACCTTCTCATTCTGAAAAGTCATTTTTCGCTTGGAATTATAAGGTTCCATCTGCCAGATCATTCATTGAAGCATTATTTTTCAACAAATACAATCAAAAATTATATAAATTGGTGTTGTAACAATATGCTAATGCTTGAGAAAGTAAAATTTTGGTTTCAATAACATTTATTTCATGTTTTAGGTTGAATATTTATTCTTGTTCAAATTGAGCTTACAAGGCTGGGCTAAATATTTTTTTCCAGTGCAGATGTTAATTTTATCTAATATGTTAATATTTATGACATTTTATGCTTTATATGAGTTATTGAACCGTATTTATTGAATTATATGCCCTATGAATTAAATTAAAGTAAATTTAAATTAAATTAAATTTAAAGTATTTGCCCTTCAAGGCTAAATAATAAATTTAAAGACTTTAAAAGAAACAGACGATGACCAAATGTGTTTCACTGACTATATGTAAACAAATAAATATATTTCACATTTAATATATACGTTTTTTAATATTCATCTCTTTTTCAACAATATAATTTTCATATAATAGAATTTGATCTCAATGTCGGTGACGCTGTGCCTCAGTGGGTAGCACGATCTCCTTACAGCAAAAAAAAAAAACGCTGGTTCGAGCCTCAGCTCGGTCAGTTGGCATTTCTGTGTGGAGTTGAAATGTACTCTCCGTTTTGCTGTGGGTTTCCTCTGGGTACTCCGGTTTCCCCCACAAGTCCAAAGACATGCGGTACAGATGAATTGGGTAAGCTAAAATTGGCCATAGTGTATGTGTGTGATTGAGTGTGTATGGGTGTTTTCCAGTGATGGGTTGCAGCTGGAAGGGCATCCGCTGCTAAAATATATGCTGTATAAGTTAGCAGTTCATTCCGCTGTGGTGACCCCAGATTAGTAAAGAGACTAAGCTAAAAAGAAAATGGATGAATCTCAATGTCAAGAAATGCTTCTAAATCATTACCTTTTCACACGCCTCAATTTTGTGTGTTGCGGCATTATTTAGCCGACTCTGATTTTGTGTGATTTTTGTCTTCCTGATGTTTCCTGCTGGCAATGGAGCAGTCCGGTGAAATGACAAAAAAAACTGATCCTGATTGGTCCTTGTGTGTGCATTAAAAATGCTGATTGGTCACAGATAGAACCGTATAGAGCCAAGCTAGAGTTCAACTTTGTAGATACACCTTTTTTGTTTTTTAAATTAAAAGTCTTAAAATGTAAAACAACTTATAAAAACACATCACATAATGTAAATAAGTTGTCTTAATAAGAATATGTAAATCACTCAATTTTGACAAAAATGTCAGATAGAACCTTATAATTCTAAGGTGACGATATATATATATATATATATATATATATATATATATATATATATTGTGTGCGTGTGTTTATCTAAATATGAACTTGTATGTCATATATGAATTTTTTTATATTTTCATATATTGCCATATTTCATATTTCTATGTTCTAATATTGTTTATTGAAGCAACACAATTAAACAAAACTACACAGGGTTCATTGTAAATACAATGTTTTTTAATACATGTTTGATAAAACTTTAACAATTCTTACATGAAGTAAATCACATGGATCTGTTACTGATTACAAAATTACAGAAACTATGAAGCTAAATCACCATTCAGTAACAGACATTAAAAAATATTATGTGTAAAAGACAAAGCTGAGTATAGATTTCCTCTTTTTAAAATCATTTTTAAAAAGACTAGATTAAAATGGATCAGAGGAATGAGAGCACTGACAGAACCTAATCAAAGGTGAATCAACTGATACTCTGCTTGTAAACTCAGAGGCGAGCCAAGAGCAATTTGTCTTGACATTACAGATCTGTTTCTTGAATGTTCATGATCAAATCAGTGTAAGTGATGCCTTTGCATTGGCCCTTGGTTTCGTACTGTAACACACTGCCATTCTTGCAAGTGATCTTCACTGTGCCAGTGTACGGCAGGTCAAAATCAGCTCTGCCAATGGTGACGTCAACAGTCGCCTTCATCTGCGGTGGGACGTCTACAGGGGTAGCCAGAACTTCAATTCCCTCTTCAATCTTTTCCACAACGGAGGTGTTTTCAGCTCCAACACTGATACTGAATCCCGTAGGAACTACTTTAACAACTGGAACCCCAGCCTTCACCTCCACACAGAATGTTGATGTTAAGCTGTTGCTCTTAGACCATGCAGATTTTTTGATCACTTTCTTTGAGGCGTCAATTATGTGCTGTTGATTAGCAGATGTTTTGTTCTCATAAAAGATGGACTTGATCTCTTCCACGGCCACCTTTGGGATCAGCTGGTTGATGGTGGGATAGTTGACATTGGTAAGAACTGCTGACTGAACGGCATTGAGAAACTTGAACCCCATGCAGTCGATGTCTGAACCACATCTTCCCTCAATACCCATACAAAATCCAGAGCCGACATCAATGGGATATTCTTGTTTTAAAACATTTGTCATCTTTGCAAAAAAATGTCCACCCATGTTGGTCTTGAATTTGATGGCTCCAAGACGTGTTCCTTCTCCATTATCCCAGAGGGACAGTGAGGTGAAACACTCTCCAGGTGAAAACACATACTCTTGATGTGATCCAGATGGTACTCCGAAGGTTGTATCTCTACCATCTGAAAGCCAAGCCCTGACAGCCTTGATCTGCCATCCTCCCACCCAAACCCAGATCTTCTCTAAACTGGCACCATTTTTTTCATCAATAAATAAAAATGGACCACCTCCTTTACCACCAATTATCACTACTGATGTTGGTTGGGCCATCTCTGAGGAAATTGGGTCTGTCAATAACATAAAAATAAGTATCAGAATGATCATCAGAACACTCAATAAGAATAAACAAAAATTTTAATCCAAGTTCCACAGTAACTTGGATTACTTTATTTGCTCACCAAAGATTTCACAATTTATACTATATAGTAGTGTTGTAATATCCCCATGCAAAGTTTCAAGCTGTTAGTTGAATGACATTTTAGATGCCTATTACAGGAATTATACTCACATAATCGACTGTAGTCTGATGAACAGCTTCTTAAGAGCAGCTCGTCTGGTAAAAGTCAATGAAGTAAAGGATGTTTGATCAAGCTGCTGCTTAAATAGAGCTGGAAAACAGACACGGACACACATGTGAGATCTGCACAAAAAATGTGTTGACTTCCTGACGGGAGATTGATTGATGTCCACTCCGAAATTCTTGTTCTGATGAAAATATGAGGAAAGCAACAACAACTACAACAATAAAGCTTTCATAAGATGTTGTAAAATGAGATTTAAAACAAACTTAAAGCGATCCACCTTGTTTTTCAGGTAAAAACAGTGCAGTCATTGTAACTTGGGCCCTGCTTACATGAGGTATTCAAAAGATCTGTACTCACTAAATGTGTGGTTTCAAACCTTTATGAGTTTCTTTATTCTGTTGAACACTAAATTTATTCCACTTAAAGAGGGTGAATAAATTATGGCAGAGACTGCAGAGTCACACCAAGATTCTTGACCTTATTTTTTGTTGTTTTTACCTTTAGACCAAGGTACGCATTTACCTTGAGAACCTCATCTCTGTTCCCAAACGCAATGACTTTCAACAGTTTTCTCTTTGTTTAACTGAGGAAAGTTTTGGCACATCCAACTGTTAATTTCATCAATGCACTGGCAGAGGGTGTCAATTGGGCTGTAGTCATAACGTTACGCAGAGTCAGTTTTTTTTTTTTTTGCACATTATTTTGACAATACATAAGGCTCTCCCAGTTTTTCTGATGCACACAAATAGTCTCTTTTCTGGCTTAGCTACATGCTTTTTAATATTAAGCTATTTTCTTTGAACTATAAATGTATATTTTCCTGCCATGGGTTTTTTAATTAACAATCCCTTGCCTGAACTTGCCGTGAGAGACGGATTATTGAAAGCACATGAGCAGCAAGGAAAAATCATATGCTCATACACAATCTTTAAAATAATTACATTTTTAAAAATTAGCAAATATATAACTTAGATTTGTGATACAATTACACAGAAGCAATCATTAAATCCTTATTTTCCTCAGAGCGAAACAAATCATCCACCCGTATAGTTGAGTAGTGGAGATACAAACAAAAATATAATTTGTATATATTTTCTTGAAAAAAAAAAAAATTGCTAATCAGGCAGTACGTCGTTTGCTATATTTTTTTACTTTATTTTTATATATCTTTTGTTGATCAGTTATCAATAGACAAGAATAATGAATAACATTTGAGGTCATGCGCTTCAAAACAAGTCCGCTATAAACACCTTAATATTTTAGAAGTTTGTTCAATCAATAGCCAAATTGATCTTATTCATCTGTGACCCACCCATAAGTAAGCTATAAATATGCATGCAGCCTATTTTTGATTACCTGAGGGGTGCATTAACAGCAGCACTCACTGATGTAATTGAGAAATTGTGTGCTCCTTTTGCACAGTGTCATCCACGCGACAGAACTCATCGTGATGAGATGGGGGGGAAATTAAACATGCTAGACTTGCTGTTGTAACAGGTATGAAAATTATAATTCGCTTTAAGTATAGAATTACACAAAATATGTATTTTATCTAATGTGTTAGTAAGTGTACCTGAGATGTTTGTTAGTGTGCATCTTTTCCTTTAAATTTCTAAGGGAGCTCACGCTGTTTAATTTCCTGTTATGCACCCGCCTCTTCCCTTTCTGCACTGACTGCGCATGGGAGAGGTGGGTGTCTGCTAAGCTCCAATTAATCTTTAATCACCTTTACTTTGTAAATAACTTTTAAAGCCAGTTTTCATGTTTAAATAATATTTATAGCAAAAGATTCAAAGTAAATCGGCACACTGCCACTTTAGCTCTCAAAAAAAATGTTAATGTCAATATCACAACATTTCGACCGACATGGTCTTCATCCTGATGTGGGCAGGGGAGTAGTCTGGTTTATGGGCCCTATGCAAAGTATGTGGGCCTTTTTGCCATTATTCATGATCCATGTTATTTATCACTTGTTAATTTAAAATATTTACCAACTGCTGTCAAATCACTGTTTTAAAATCTGCCGACAGTATTACAAAGATGAATCAACAACCAACAGAATTAAAAAGATGAATTTCATTCTTTGATGATTTGCATTAATTTAAACACAGCACATATTTTTTGTCTAAATAGTGTAATGGTTAATATTTTATCATATAACACAACACATTTATATCTTTAGCAGAGGGAATTCTAGGATTTATGTTTTCAGAGGGTTTCGTTTTTAGTTTGCTGAACAAATAGCTACATTGTTTGATGGCTGAGTGGAACACCCATGCTCTCCAGTTCCTCGCCGCTGAAACACTTGTAGACTATTCAGCATCGTCTGTATAAAAAGCAAAAGCAAAATAATTATCCGTTTGTGTGCACACTGTGCCTACACTGTAAAAAGCGATTAGTTGACTTTTACTTTTAAAAAGTGACTAAGCCCATTGTCTAAAATCATTATGTAAATTAACTGTGCATAATTCTAAAAAGAATAAGTTAAGTGAACTCAACAGTTCTAAGTTCAAACAAAATTACTCACATTTTTAAAACTAAAATCGACTTAAATTTACTCGTTCTTTTCAAGTAATCACTTTTTACAGTGTATATGAAAGGGTTAATGTTTGTGGATTTATGAAGCTTGTTAAAATATCAATATGATCAGATTAAGAGCATGCGGATATACACACACTACCACAATAATAATAATATTTCAGGACCTTTGAGGGCAGCCAGCCCGGGAAGCAGGGGAGGACTTGCCATCTGGAGCACTGGGACTTTTCTCGGTGGCCTGACCAATGACTGTAAAAAATATGGACGACGCGACAGCCCCTTTTCCCATTGAACGCCTTGAGGGCAAAATGCCTGCTTGACAGGCACAAACTGTCGCAAAAGACTGCTGAAATTGGAGCCTTGACATGCGCAGAAGGACTGTCTGATGGAGCCAGAGGAGGAGTCGCGAAAATGAGCGGAGTCGAGCTTCCAACCAAACGCTTTATTTAAAATCAACCACGCCTCCCGAACTTCTCAGCATGCGTTTGCTGTCATATCAACACAAATGGATGTAATAACGTTAACAAATATGAGGGTTTTATATATTCAATCGCGCCAGCTCCGGACCGCAGCGCATAACCTACTTAGGGCGTCGCGAGCTGATTCCGGCTCGCATGCGGCAGCGCCGGCTCGCTTGGCCGCCGCATCTGGCTCGATTGACTCGGGCTGGAATCGGGCAGTGAGTCCAGGCATCCGGAGTAGGTCCAGCAGAGGTAGTCAGTCTGAGCTCTGTGGGGTAAGTCTCCGGCAGGCGAGAATCTAGCCGAACTGGTCCGAGTGTATTTTGCCATCTGGGTGACTAGGCGTGTATCAGCAAACTAATAAAGCCCGAAAAAAGCCCTGACCTTAGCGAATAAACAGTGTTCCTCCAGGATCATGTATGTCAGAAACTGTAGTTTACTGTTGAACTCATGTTGTCATGGTAAAATAACACAGAAATCAAATAATAACACTTCAGTCTCCTGCCGAAGCTCAGACGCGCTGCTTTGAGAAACTGTCAATCACAGCTGTCAATCACGATGACACGCCCAGCATTAAATTACTGCTAAAAACAAACTGTTTACAAAAATGAAGATCTGCACCTATTTCAGCACAATAACCAGTGCCTTAATCGACCAGAACCATCTTTCGGGTCATTTTATTGCAAGTGTAATAATTTTTTTATTTGGGCTCAAGTCTCCTTCATTAACACGGAGGAGGCGGGCTTTATGACTTGTACTGCAGCCAGCCCCCAGGGGGTGATCTAACGGCCGAGACCTTCACTCAAACGCAGGCTTGCGGCACACTTGGGCCTGACAGTCAATCTGGCCTGCCGCCGTGCCGTCGATCACCTCACTTTGACATGCCATAGGCTGCTTGCAGCTTGATTGACACCTCAAACTACGAATCAGGCGATCTCGATCGCCATAAGGTCCAATCATTTCAGCGACTTACTGCCTGATTAGCTATTTGCATAGAACTTATACCAGCTTCAAACTTCACGTCATTAATGCAAAAACTGGGAACGTAAACTGAAAGGAGGAGCAGAGAGGGAGCGCATGAAAAGAAGAAAAGTCCTGGCCATAGAAGCAGAAAAATGCAGTAAAATCCCAACTAGGTTTGCGACCAAGTGAGCAGGTTAGTCAGAATACAGCACATTTACAGTTCAAGTCAGAATTACTAGCACCCCCTGTTTTTTCCCCCTAATTTCTGTTGAACGGAAAGATTTGTTTAACACATTTCTAAACATAATAGTTTTAATAACTAATTTCTAATAACTGATTTATTTCATCTTTGCCATGATGACAGTAAATAATATTTGACTAGATATTTTACACTTCTATACAATTAAAGTAATATTTAAAGGCTTAACTAGGTTAATTAGGTGAACTAGGCTAGTTAGGGTAATTAGGCAAGTTAATGATGGTTTGTTCTACTATCGAAAAATATAGCTTAAAGGGGCTAATAATTTTGACCTTAAAATGGCTTTTAAAAAATTTAAAACTGCTTTTATTCTAGTTGAAATAAAAGAAATTCTCCAGAAGAAGAAATAGTATGAGACATACTGTGAAAATTTCCCGGCTCTGTTAAACATAATTGGTCAAATATTTAAAAAAGAAAAAAAAATTCAAAGGGGGCTAATAATTCTGACTTCAACTGTATATTATCATTTGGCAGGCGGGCGTTTTCATCTAAATTGACTTACAGTAGATACAAATAAATAAAAAATACAATTAGCGAATGAGCAACAATGTCTCGTTTAGTCTAATGCAGCAGGCTACTACAGCATGTGTTTTATATAGGCATAGTCTATAAATTAAATAAAAAAATAATAGGTAAAATAAAAGTAAATAGAATTGCTGCATCATGTCTGAGTGGGTCAAGGTTTTTATATAACAAGCAAACCAAAAATCTAATATATGGAATAGAAGTAAAAATAGTGTGTGTGCAGAAAGTTTTTAGCCAATTGAGATTTTGAGGATTCGTTAATTTATTCATTAATAATTTTTCTGGTAGTCTACATGGTGTACAGTTATAATAGAGTACAATGTGAGCAGTCAGACAGTAGTGTAGTGGTGACAATAGCAGCAGAGGTGGCCTGAGATTGAAAAAATTTCCTGGCCTGAATTTTTGTCCCAGTCCGCCCCTGCTGGGTTCTATGCGCTCAGTCATCCTCTTCCCCCATCTTACTGCACACTGATTCAAGCATTTGCCATTGTTTCTTTTTATATTTAGTTTCATCATGCAAAGAGGATATATTTTTATCATTTGTTAGAGCTGTCTCAAGGAGTACTTAATTTCATTTCTTCGTACTCCAGAGGTTTTCAAAATTGTTAAAAAGTTAAACAAGTCATGAATAAATTAAAGGACATGGATTCCAAAATTGTGTATATACAAGAAACTCGCCTATTAGAAAAGGATATTGTATGAATGGGTTTTAACCACAGCGGTTTGAACTGTAGTTCTGCCGAGTGACTAAAAAGTTATCAGCATGATGGTAAAAACTGATCATTTCTAGTCAAACCATTCTTCTGCAATCTCATACCAAAAACAAAAATAAGAGCAGTATTAATAGCTATGAATGTGGGAGAGCGTTGATATTATGTGATTATATCGTAATGCAATATGGAGCTATTAAGTGTTGATGTTAAATCAAAAGTAATTCACAAATACTTGATAATGAGATGATTTAATGACAATAATTCTCTGGTTACAACTGAATTAAGCACAAAATACTGTATAAAATGCTAAAAAATGAAATGCTAAAAAATATGATATTAATTGTACCCAGCTTAAATGTAAAATTAAAGTTACCAGAGGTAGATGGAAAGGCACAGGGGGAGGGAGAGAGAGACAGAGCAAGTAGGCCTGTTACATGCCTGGGGGTGTTGCTCTGTTGTTCCCTCCTCCCCTCTCTGTTTCTATTTGCTGTCTCCTATACTTCTAAAGTCTAGGTGTTCCGATTGGTTGGCAGAGTTCTCCCGAGTGGACCAATCAGAAGAGGATGGGTGTTATTTAAACACTCCAGTGATGACTCAGCCCAGATGAGGGAGGGATTTATGTTGCTTGTTGCTGCTGTGTTTTTGTTACTTTTGGTACCTATCTTGTGCTCTGGTTCGCTTTAAAGAGTTTTTGTGATTTAAAAATATCTAGAGGGAAGTGAAGTGAAGTGAAGGGAAGTATGTCACGTGACTTACATTTTACACACACGTAGCAGATTTTTTTGTTATTCCACTAGGTTAGAGGCGGGTGCTACCATATGTATGTTTGTTCTAGTCAGTGCAGTTGAGTAAGGGGCGTGTGACGCTGAAGATGTTTTTTTCTTATTTACATATTTCTCTTTAGTTATTTAGAGGTGTGGGAGGGATTAGTTAGCGGGTGTTTAATTTGTCATTTTCTTTGATTTGGCACCGCTTATTCTCCTTCCCTCCATCAGGTATTTTTTGTTTACTTTTTGCATTTATTGTATATTGTAAATATACTTTGGGTGATTTAAATATTCACTTCTTTATCTTTATTGTAATAAATCGAACCAGTTTTTTTGCCACGTCGTTGTCTGTGTTGATTTATAGCAGCTAACATCTCAGAGGAATTCTTAAAATATTGGGTTGTCATAGTTATGTTAAGCCTTTTTTCATCCTCCGAGCCACACAGGGCGTAACAAGGCCTCAAAGAGGCTGAGGAGATAGACTCTCTGATAGAGGAGCAGAGCAGGAGAGCGCAGACCAGGGAAAGACAGGCCAGAAAAAGAGGCAGAGCCTGAGTTTACCACCTATTTTGTATCTTTCTTGACCATGTGACTAAAGCCCAAATACTGAGACATTAAAACTGACCAATCAACATGTGACCACATTGTAAAACCCCCAAAATCCACATACCAGGCCCTGATCTTATCAGTTAGTGCTTTTGGAGCCAGTATGGACCTTCTCGAGTCAAAAATGCATGTTTTGCAATATAAACAAATGCATATGATCATTTAGCCTCTAACAATTCAAAGATACATCTGCCTTAGTTCAACATTTTAAGAGATTGTCTTTCATTCAAATGCATTAATTTCTCTTTGTCTCTACGAAATTGTACATCTAGCAGGATTTGCCCAAGGCGAGCACATGACCATGTAAAGGATTAATTCAAAAGTGTCTCGTGAGGCAGTTCACACTGAAAATCCTGTAAAGCCCCATTGTGGGTAATTGAATCATTGACTAAATTAGCTGAAGGGTACCAGAACATCTGCGGCCAAATTATTCATGCAGCTATTCAAGTCAACTGGCGCTCTGTTATCGTGATGGTATAAGCCCTCAAGCCAGTTCAATGACTGAGACAATTTGGCGCTTGCCCAAAATTTCAAATTTAACTCGTGTTGACAACTGCAATATTCATAGCATTGAGTTCCAACATACACACACACACACACACATATATATATAATATATATAATATATAATATAATATATATATATATATATATATATATATATAATTTTAACTTACTGCAATTAAAATAATATATTAGTTCAGACGCTTTTACTCATTTGTTACACAACACCATTTAAACACACAGTTCATTTTAAATGCAGTTATTTTATTAATGCTAGTAAATGTTTTATTGAACGTTTACTTACATAAAGTAAATGAAATAATCTGGTACTGACTACAAAATTACAGAATCTATGAAGCTATATAATCTTTTTTAAAACAGAAAAGTTTATCTGAAAGACAGTGCTGAGTATATATTTTCTCTTTTTTAAATGATTAAGGAAAGACTTATTCAAAGTGGGTCAGAGAAATGAGAGCACAGACAAAACATAATCATAGGTAAATGAGCTGAATCATTGCTGGTGAACTCAGAAGCCAGCCAAAAACAATCCATCTTGACATTACAGAGCTTTTTCTACTGTATTCACTTTGATATCAGTGTAAGCGACTCCTTTGTACTGGCCCTTGGTTTCGTACTGTAACTCACTGCCATTCTTGCAAGTGATCTTCACTGTGCCAGTGTACGGCAGGTCAAAACTGGCTCTGCCAATGGTGATGTGAACATCCACCTTCTTCTTTGGTGAGACTTTAACAGTGGTGGTCAGAGTTTCATTTCTCTCATCTGACTGCTCCAGACTATAGGTGCTTTCATTTCCAAAAGTGACACTGAATCCTGTAGAAACTTCAGCAATTTTTGGAATCCCAGCCTTCACCTCCATACTGAATGTTGATGAAAAGCTCTTAGTCATAGACCATGAAGATGTTTTGATCACTTTCTTTGAGGTTTCAACTTTTTGCTCTTGCTTAACAGATGTTTTGTTCTCAAAACTGACCGACTTGATCTCCTCTGTGGCCACTTTTGGGATCAGCTGGTTGATGGTGGGATAGTTGACATTGGTGAGAACTGCTGACTGAACTGCATTGAGAAACATGAACCCCATGCAGTCGATGTCTGAACCTGATCTTCCCTTAATGCCAAGACAATAACCAGAGCCGACATCCATGGGATATTCTGTTTTTAAACCCCAACTTGTCATCTTTGCAAACAATTCTCCACCCTTGGTTGTCTTGAATCTGATGGCTCCAAGACGAGTTCCTGCTCCGTTCCCCCAGAGGGACAGTGAGGTGAAACACTCTCCAGGTGAAAACACATATTCTTGATAAGATCCAGATGGTACTCCAAAGATTTGCTCTCTACCATCTGAAAGCCAAGCCTTGACAGCCTTGATCTGCCATTCTCCCACCCAAACCCAGATCTTCTCTAAACTGGCACCATTATTTTCACTAGTAAATGAAAATGAACAACCTCCCTGACCACCAATTATCTCTAGTGTTGTTGAGGAAACCATCTTTGATAAAATTAGATCTGAAAAATGACATCACAAAATTAGTATTAGAATTATCATCAGGTACATTATAATATGTTTCATTTTTATGCATTTACGAAGATAGTACATATAAGAAGATTCAAAGAGCAATGAACCATGATATGATTAGACAGGAGGTTTTAAATACAAAAAAAAAAAAAAAACTTTATTCCCCAAAATAAAGACAAGAAAGTGCAGAGCAGACCTCAGAGCAATCTGAAGTCTCACCTCGACAATTCTGAAGTGTCTCGTGTTGTGTGTACAGTTTATACAGTTTCTGGTGTTCTCGTGATTTTGCTCCGCATACATTTGCTCTGCATACCGAATTGTCCGCGTCAACATTATGGTGCATTGAAGAAACGATTCATTTTGACCCCCCTGCTATATTATATAATTTTGTAAAACCTCATACCTGCAACGTTTTAAGCTGTTAGTTATTCAGTTGAAGTATATTTTAGATGTATATCACAGGAATTATACTTACATAACTGACTGTAGTCTGATCCACCTCTTCTCAAGAGCAGCTCATCAAAAAGCTTGAAAAGTGAAAGATGTTTGATTGAACTGCTGCTTAAATAGATCTGGAAAACACACCCCGAAACCATGAGTCAGAGATCTGCACACAAATAAAAGAATGGCTGATTTCTTGACAGGAATTCATAACCACATTTTGAGAAAAATTCTGCAGAAAATTATGAGGAAGGCGAGAATAGAAATTTTATTAGACAAACTCTCATATCTCTGCTTTAGTGATTGATGGGCTGATCTGATCTGACAGATTACAACAGAATTCTAAAGAAACAAGAGTGGAATGCAACCCGGGGCACTGAAATATAATTGGCTAAAAATACTATAGAGCAGGTTATAATTACCAAAACAAAGACATAATAACCGACAATTATTGCAAAGTTTTTGACATTGCAAAGATGATTGCAAAGCCATGACAACGTATAATCATACATTCCTTTTTTGCTGGTGGTTTTCTCAAACATATTAATGTACAGTAAGGGAACAAAATGTCTCTTACACTCTCACCCTCTCTCTCACGCACGCACTACTTCATATAAAAGTACTTTTCTTTTTTTTTTTTTTGCACTGCAACTGATGATCAACAGTAAAAATTACAAATTGTGAGCATTGCTTATTACTGAAGGTAAAAAAACAGATAACAATCTGTGTGCTGAATCAATTTTTTGTAATAAGAAATCATTTTATGTGTATTTAGATACTACATTAAAGAAAAAATGTTTATTTTAACAGCCTAGACCAGAGATGCCCAAAGTAGGGCTCATTGTAACCTTTGATTTTGGCCCCTATCCCATCTGAGAGGAAAGTGAGAATGATGGGAAGTGTTGGGTTAAATGCCTTCAATGCAGAGATTGTCATTTCTAATTCGACGTAACCTTATTTGATAGTTTTATTTCTGAGCTAAAAAAAGAAAAAAGAAAACTAAAATTAAATCTTTCAATTAAATGTAGTGAATGAATCAGATTTTTTCAAACGTGAATACTGTCATTTGATGGATAGAGGACTATTTAGAAGCAAATCAAGGTAAAACCTAGTGTAATTCTGTTATAAGATTTTTACTGTAATAAGTTCATTGTAAAATGTAAAAAAAATACTGTTTTAGTTAATATAAAGCAATGTTTTCAACTCATTTTTAAATGTTACTGAATAAACTATATAATGACCCAAGGCAACTATGTTTACCTTCGGCCCGCTAGCCTCAATAAAGTTTGGTTTTTGGCTCTTCTTAAGAAAAAGTTTGGGCACCCCTGGTCCAGACTAAAATTGATTAGGGCCATTCACAGACTAAATGATGCAAGGACAAACTCACAATTATTTATATCAATAAAAAACAACATGAAATATTGGTGTAGTCAACAGTGTTGAAAGAAAACCAAAGCAGAAAACAATACTAAAAATTAAATGTTTTATTTTTCATTGGGTGTAGCAGACATTCCCCATATAGATGTTGATCTCATTAAAGACTTACTTCATCCCAGTCACACAAGTGGATGGATGCGTTTGCAGGTTTGTGTCAGGTGATTCAGATTGGGAGTAAATATAGCCACACTGAAAAAAAGTGATTTTGGAAAGCGGTAAATATAATCTGTGGAAACCATATAAAATTTCCTTGAGTATTGCAGCCAGCCAAGGAATTCATAAGTAATGGGTAAATTCTACATATGCTACCCATTCGTCAACAGTAACAACCATCACATAGAAAACTTCAGTAAAGTATACCCCCAAACCGTGAGTATTTTGCTTTGAAATTGCGCATGCATCCACCCACGTTTTTGAGTGAGTGTGGACTACACTGGATCCTCTCACCGGCTGCCATGATCGAACAGCAGAAGTTAAGATAAGCTATTTTTACATAGGGGTGCTGTATATATATATTTTTTTGACAGTTTGAAACTGTCGCTGGCGTCACCGAAGCACTCAGGATGAGTATCCCCAGGTGGAAATAGAGAATAAAGAGAATAATTAGCATAGCTGCTGTTCATAGTGTATATAAACGAGATGCAGAAACCTGGGTGGAGCACATTCATGTATCATATTGCTAAGTGATGCACTGTGTGTATGGTTTACTAAACAGATAGGTCTTTAATCTAGTTTTGAATTGTGAGAGTGTGTCTGAGCCTCGGACATTATCAGGAAGGCTATTCCAGTCCAAGGCTCGATCTTTACTCAACTTTGCTATTCTAGGTACTACCAGAAGTCCTGAGTTTTGAAATCTTAAAGAGCGAGCTGGATTGTAGCGAGACAGAAGGTTGCTTAGATAAACAGGAGCTAGATTATTTAGAGCTTTATAGGTGAGAAGTAATATTTTAAATTCAATACGAAACTTAACAGGCAGCCAGTGTAAGGAGGATAAAATTGGGGTGATATGATCATATTTTCTAGACCTGGTAAGAACTCTGGCAGCTGCATTTTGCACTAGCTAAAGTTTATTAATAGAGGATGCTGGAGCCAGCAAACAGAGCATTACAGTAATCTAGCCTAGAAGTCATAAAAGCATGGACTAGCTTTTCTGCATCTGAGATGGATAGCATATTTCGAAATTTAACGATATTTCTCAGATGAAAGAAGGCAGTTTTTGTGACATGGGATATATGGTTTTCAGAAGTTAAGTTGCTGTCTAATATGACACCCAGATCTTTTATAGTAGCGCAAACGCTAACTTTGTATCCCTCTAATTGCAAATTGAGTTGCGAGATCTTCTGTGTACAGGATTTAGGGCCAATAAGTAATAATGACTGTTTTCTCTGTTGTAGTTTAAAAGAAGAAAATTGTTGGTCATCCAGTCTTTAACATCTTTAATACACTCAGTTAGCTTGGACAGTTCACACGTCTCATCAGGTTTAGTTGAAATATATAATTGAGTATCATCTGCATAGCAGTGAAAGCTGATCCCATGTCTTCTAATAATGTCTCCCAGAGGTAGCATGTAAATTGTAAACAGCAAAGGGCCTAAAACTGATCCTTGAGGCACCCCATACTTTACTGGGCTGACTTGTGAAGGCTGTGCATTAATATTCACAAACTGGTAGCGGTCAGTTAAGTATGACTTAAACCATTGTAGAGCCTGTTCCTGGACGCCTGTAGAATTTAAGCAATTTATGAGGATATTGTGGTCAATGGTGTCAAATGTGGCACTAAGATCGAGTAAAACTAATAGTGAGATGCACCCTTGGTCAGAAGCTAAAAGTAAATCCTTTTTTATTTTCACTAATGCAGTTTTTACTGTTATGAGCTCTGAAACCTGACTGGAACACTTCAAAAACATTGTCTGCAGAAAGGAGCATAATTGGGGAGAGACAACTTTTTCTACTAACCAGATAGAATTAAATTCATAGTAAGTAAGTAAAGGTTTATTTTTATGGCACCTTTCCCAGAAATTGAGTCACAAAGTGCTTAACAATAAAAGAAAACAACTAAAAGAACACATGACAAGTTCATGTTTGTCTATAGCGCTTTTACAATGTAGATTGCGTCAATGCAGCTTAACATACAGTAGAAGTTCCAGTATATGAACATGCAACTGAATAGAGATATAAAAGATGAGGCAGAAATCACAAAAAGGGGGGGAAACTGTCCTGCAACAGGTGCAAAGGGAAAAAGGGAAACTTTGGTGCAGTTTCCACAGACAAACCACAAGAGAGCATAACACACTATATTGTTAACTCTCACAGTCGCTCTTCCTATACAAGGCACTGAGATAGACTTTAAGATTGATACAGGTGCAAACATACGTGTCATTCCTAAGAAACCTTCTCCCCATTGAAGAACAAGCCACAACTTAAAGGAGTTTAAGTGAAACCTAAGAGCCCAGGGGGTGCATTTCACTGCAAAGGACAATTCAAAGCCACTCTCTTTAAGGATAGGCAGTACAGTTTTAAAATATTTGGTGTGACTAGTCATCCTGTAAATAATTCTATTGGCCTTGATGCTTCTAGTGCAGGGGTGCCCAAACCTTTTCTTGTAAATGGCCAAAACTTGATCGAGGGCTCCCAATTTGTCATGGGAAATTTCCTAATTTATTTTTGCTGTAAATTTGAAAGTGACTACAAAACAGGCAGCACAGTAGCTTAATGGTTAGAACTGTTCCCTCAAAACAAGAAGGTCACTGGTTTGATTCCCGGCTGGGCCAGTTTGCATTTCTGTGTGGATTTTGCATGTTCTCCCCGTGTTGGCGTGGATTTCCACGGAGTGCTCCGGTTTCCCTCACATTCTTAACACATGCACTATAGGTGAATTGAATAAGCTAAATTGGTCTTAGTGTATAAATGTGTGTGAATGTGAGAGCATATGGGTGTTTCCCAGTACTGGGTTGCAGCTGGAAGGGCATCTGCTATGTAAAACCTACAGTGCATCCGGAAAGTATTGATAGCGCTTCACTTTTTCCACATTTTTTATGTTACAGCCTTATTCCAAAATGAATTAAGCTACTTTATTTCCTCAACAATCTACACACAATCCCCTATAATGATAATGTGGAAAAAGAGAATTTTGAAATTGTTGCAAATTTAATAAAAATAAAAACCTGAAAAATCACATGAACATCAGTATTCTTAGCCTTTGCTCAATACTTTGAAAGTTGAGGAGAAATGGCTAATTCCCTTCAGGTGACGAAGCAGCGACGAAACGCGAGCCCAGATAGTCATGCAGTGTGAAAACATCTTGCAGTCTAAACTCAGCATTAAAGGGTCACGAAACACCAAAACACATTTTTTGAGCTGTTGACAGTCGTATATGTGTCCCACACTGCTAAAAACACTATTAGGACACCTATATTTCACTAAAAAGTGTAAATTGGTTGTTTTTGCGTTATTTCAAGCAAATTCGTACTTCCGGTTTGAAACGAATTTTTGAAGCTGCGTCACGGTCATGACATAATAGCGTGTATTCCAGCGTGCAGATGCATTAATGCATGAGTAAGGCTTGGTTCAAACCAATCAGCGCGCTCTATTGTGCAACTTCATTAATATTCATTAGTGTCACTGTTTACACCAGAGACGCCACGTTGTGTTGGCAAAACAAGCTTTTTTTTTGTTGCTTTTATAGTTTGCTGCCATTAAGTTTCATTTTCCTTTTCTCTCTGTGAGAGCTCAGAGTCACGTGTGGATTAACAGTGTACGTGACGCTCGACAACAATAACTTACGTGTCTAAGGAGAATTATTGTTTACCTGAGAGCTGTTCTCATCTGCAAACGCTGAAATCCGAATTTGCTTGTAGTCTCCTCTTCATAAAGACGCGGCTCTAGTTGCTGGTGATTGTCCTGTCTCTACAGATTTGGTAAGTGAGCGACCAGTGCTCTTTGTTTATTCAGTTTGTTCGTATCGAATTAAGTTAACTATTGCACTGAGTGCAAACTTGTTAGCACCGCATTTTGTGACCGGAATAACACACGTGGCTTTCTGACGCTACCTGCCGAGTGCATCTAAGTTTCCGGGAATTGCGGAGCTTTTTTTTCTCTCATTCGCCGTGCGGTATCAAACATTGCATGAAAAATACACGCTTAGAGCAGATCCTCGAATCAAATATCTCGTTTGTCGCGAGGGGCATGAATGAATTCCTTGAATGAAAGAGCCAAACTGCAGTTAAAGTCCAACATTTAATAATCTGGCAAATAATTCAACTACAGATGTCCATGTAGGTTAAACACAATGACTGTAAAAAATACACCATCACTTTCTCGTGTGAGTATTTTGACTGAAACTCGCGCGTGCCCAAATAGACACTCCCACACCATCCCACTTTAGTTCCTCCGACACTCCTCCCTAAACAGAGCTGGACACGCCCACTTTTCTGACTTTTTCCAAAGTAAAGGTGTGAAAATACCCTGCTGAAACGAGGGGGTTTCATGGCCCTTTAAGGCAACTTAAACCGTTTAAGGAAACCAAACCAAGCTATTTTATATGATTACTTTGAACTTACTCCATTTAAGTTTAAGTAATGAGGTAATTAATTAACTCATTGCCTTCAAACTTTTTTCAAATGAGTAGAATTACCTTTCAGTCAATTTTGAGTTAACTTCACTCATTTCATTTGATAAAGTTATCTGTCGGATTTTACAGTATACGATAATGCATTACCCCAAACAATCATTGTGGAGGATAGTAGGATCTGTGTGCAAGTCCAATATGAACTAAAGATAGCTGATGTTGTGCTGCATCTTCTTTTATTTAAAGGTAACTGTATAGTTACTAATACAGTGAAAATCTGTTTGCTAATTGTACACACATGAACACATTAGTGCATTGAATGAATGACTTCACGTTTTTGTGGACTATCAGTTGATGAAATATGGTTATTTTCTGCAAATTTAAACAATTTTACAGAAAATTCCCGCCAACCACTGCTGATATTTTTCCGTAAATTTAACAGATTTTTTTAACAGTGTAAATAAATTAAAGCAAAATTATAAATGTGTTGATTGAACTAAACAACATTACATTACCTTTATGTAACTAACTTAAGTTCACTCAAATAAATATTCTTTCTTTAAGGTAACTTAACCCGGTTTTGTGGAACCTGTTGACATAAAAAAGTTAATAAAAGGGCCATGAACCCGCTTGTTTCAGCAGGGTGTTTTCACACCTCTACTTTGGGAAAAGTCTGAAAAGTGGGCGTGTCCAGCTCTTATTAGGGGGGAGTGTCGGAGGAGCAAAAGAGGGATGGAGTGGGAGTGTCGATTTAAGCACGCGCTGAGTTTCAGAGTCAAAACACTCACACACACAACACAGGGGAGAAAGTGACTGTGTTTACATGGACATCTGTAATCGAATTATTTGCTAAATTATTAAATGGTGGACCTTAATTGCAGTTTGGCTCTTTCATTCAGGGAATTCATTCATGCCCCTCGTGACAAACGAGATATTTGATTAGAGGAGCTGCTATGTATGTATATGTATTTTTCATGCATTGTTTGATACCGCACATCGAATGAGAGAAAAAAACCCTCCACATTTCCCAGAAACTTAGATGCACACGGCAGGTAGTGTCAGAAAACCGCGTGTGTTATTCCGGTCACTAAATGTGATAAAAATCCTAAAAGACAGTAATAGTTTGGTTGTGGTGCTAACATGTTTACACTCGGTGTAATAATTAGTTAGATACGAACAAACTGAAAGAGCACTGGTCGCTCACTTACCAAATCTGCAGAGACAGGACAATCCACGGCAACTAGAACCGCGTCTTTATTAAGAGGAGACGAGCAGCGAATGCCGTTCGCGTGCACTGTGATCCACACGTGAGTCCAGCTGCGTGCTCAGTGAGAGAAAATGAAAACAAAACTTCACTGCAGCACATTATAAAAGCAACACTGCACGCTTGTTTTGCCAACAAAACGTGGCGTCTCTGCCATCTACACTGTAACATTAATGAATATTAATGAAGTTGCACAATAGAGCGTGCTGATTGGTTTGAACCTGGCCTTACTTTTGCAATAATGCAACGCACTTGGAGACGTAATACGGGACTCCCAGGCACAGACGTCTAGTCTACAAGCTGGAACACATGCTAAGATCTCATGGCCGTGACGCAGCTTAAAAAATTTGTTTCAAACCAGAAGTGCGAATTTGCTCAAAATAATGCAAAAACAACCAATTGTTACTTTTTAGTGAAATATATGTGTCCTAATAGTGTTTTTAGCAGTGTGGGACACATATACGACTGTCAACAGCTCAAAACATGTGTTTTGGTGTTACGTGACCCTTTAAAGCCAACATATCATTTTTTTTAATGTAGTGCATTTGGGTTTGAATAGGAACTATGAAGTCTGCTTGTTTCGACATGAAAACCTAAATAAATAAGCAGAAACTTTGACAAGCCTATTTTAATCAGCCGTAGCTCATGATGATTCTCATTTACATGTCATTTGGTTAAACGCTTTTGCCAAGTGAACACGTGCAGGTGAAGTGCTGATAAGAATACACAGACAGCTCTTGATAATCATTTTGTTTTTCATGCATGCAAAATAGCCATCCATATTATTTTCCTAACTTTGAAACATATTTATCTTCAGTATTTTATTAGGCCTACTTTAAACACAAACAGAGAAAAACATTGTAACCTGTAAAATTTGCTTAGCAAGTTCCTTTGGGTTTGAAAATTAACAGTATAATCTCTTATTCTTCATGTAATAAAATGTGTGTATTGGCTATGCGGTGGCCTTGCACTGTTAACCCTTACTGTAGATTATGCAGTAAATAACTGTAAAATAGCCAGTGTTTAGCTGTAATGAAATGAAACAGTATTTTACTGTAAAAGGAGCAGAATTTGTATTAAATTGTGTAGTGCAAAGATTAAATTACAGTAATTTACTTTATGTACACATTACAGGTAGTAACTGTGACAATACATGGCAAATTACTGTTCAACCATTACAGTCCCATCTACTGTGATGCTTTATGTTGCTATTTATGAGGACATGCATTTTAAAGGCAGAAAACAATAATTTAGGCATCACCACACACTCCCACAGGCTGTCCGTCTTATTCTAAACACAAAGGTGTTAGAAAGAGTTTTCAGAAAATGCTGGCCCTTTAAGGGAGTCAGGTGTTTGATTTGTTTACTGCTGAGTGCGCTCTACTCTCTGTCTATCAATTCAGATGTAGAGTCTGATATGTTTTAGGCTTTAAATAAGAATCTACAATAAGTCAGTTTAATGTGTTCAAATGTTTTTGAGGGTTTCTAAAATAAGGCTGTGTTTTAAGGTATATTGTTGTTCTCTTGAACTGTGTACTTAAAAGTTATATTGTTAGCTAGTTAGCCTCTCATCATATAACTTCTTACATTACTTTTAAGTATATTTATTTATTGGATATTGCATATTGCCATAATGTACAGATGCTAACAGTTTCATGTCTTCATCTTTCTGGCAACTAAGCAGTTTTTATGCACATAAAAAGGTCTAACAGTGTGGTTGGGTCAGTTGACGCTTCTGCGTGGAGTTTGCATGTTCTCCCCGTGTTGGCATGGGTTTCCTCCGGGTGCTCCGGTTTCCCCGATAAGTCCAACGACATGCTATAGGTGAATTAGGTAGGCTAAATTGTCCGTAGTGCATGTGTGTGAATGGGTGTGTATGGGTGTTTCCCAGTGATGGGTTGCAAATGGAAGGGCATCCGGTGCATAAAACATATGCTGGATAAGTTGGCGGTTCATTCCGCTGTGGCGACCCCGGATTAATAAAGGTACTAAGCCCAAAAAGAAAATGAATGAATAAATGAAGATATTAGGTATTCATTTTGACATCTTTATCAAGTTGCTTTGACTGTTCAAACAATATTTAAAATAGAAGTTCATGAATAGATTGCCCTTAATTAGCTACATTAACTTATTTTCATAAGCAAACAGCAGACGTTGGCTCATGGAGTTTGGCTGTGATAACAAGCTCTATTTAAGCAGGAGCTTAATGAAACCACAGTTCACCTTTCTGGCTTCACCAGGCGAGAACAAGAAGTTCATCAGACTACAGTCATCCCAGTGAGTATATTTACAATACAGTGACAAGTATCTTTCTGTAGTCTTTCCAAAATCCTATTTTCTAGGATGTATGCCAACTCTGAGCACTGATTATTAAAAATGGGTTTTACTTTCTGCGAGCAATTATTTGAGTGTTTATGCAGAAAATGTATACAATTGGTGGAATGTATACAATTCTGGAGACATTCTGGAGTATTTGTTTTATTTCAGCTAGAATAAAAGCAGTTTTTAATTTTTAAACAGCATTTTAAGGTCAAAATTATCAGCCCCTTCAAGCTGATTTTTTTATTTATTATTATTATTATTTTTTTTTTTTTTTTTTGATAGTCCACAGCAGGGGTGTCAAACTCAATTCCTGGAGGGCCGAAGCCCTGCACAGTTTAGTTCCAACCCTGCTCCAACACACTTACCTGTAGGTTTCAAACAAGCCTGAAGGACTCAATTAGTTTGATCAGGTGTGTTTAATTAGGGCTGGAACTAAACTGTGCAGAGCTGCGGCCCTTTTGGAACTGAGTTTGACACCTGTGGTCTACAGAAAAAAACAATTAATTGCCTAATTACCCTAACCAGCCTAGTTAACCTAATTAACCTAGTTAAGCCTTTAAATGTGACTTTAAGCTGTATAGAAGTGTCTTGAAAAATGTCTAGTCAAATACTGTCATCATGGCAAAGATAAAATAAATCAGTTATTAGAAATGAGTTATTAAAACTATTATGTTTAGAAATGTGCTGAAAAAAATCTTCTCTCCGATAAACAGAAATTAAGGGAAAAAAATAAACAGGGGGGCGAATAATTCAAGGGGGCTAATAATTCTGACTTCAACTGTATAAGTATTATCGTAAGTAAGATAAGTGTTGTTAACAGGGCTTGACATTAATTTTTTTTATCACCATCCACTGTGGCTAGTAGATAATCAACATTACTAGCCACTCTGTATTTTCACTAGCCAGTTTTTTTTTTTTTTTTTTTTTTGGGAGAATATATTTTATATGCATAAATTTGACTTTGGCATGCTAAAACTACTTGATTTTGATTTTGCTTAATGTCCACATGCATTTTACTTTGTGTTATGTATAACCTTGCTCAATGTGTGTGAGCAAATGGGATGTAGTGAAGCATTGCAATTAGTTTTTATTTCACGTAACTTTTCAAGGCTCAATATATAGGATTTACCAAATTTACCTCTGACCACACCAAGAATAAATAATCATTTCCTAGCCACCAATTTTAAATAATGTGTCAAAACAAGCTAAATATATAGCTACATGCTCTTTTATTCAACAAAACGTTTCTTTTCATTTTTATTTACATTTTTTAAAAAATAATTAATGGCATCTAAAACTGCATAAACTGTGTCCTGGCTAAAGGTCCCAGATCACCAGTTGACTAAACAGGTTAACTAAATGCCACAGTTAACTAAAATAAATCTCTTATTAAAGCAATCTTATTATATAAAAAAAAATGCAATTAAACCATGTTAACAAAAATAACTATAACGTTACCATTAGACCTGTTAATAATCTGTTCAAAAAATGGTGAAAGAAAAGTTAAAAAAGTAGCCGCTGCTGCTTACAAATATATATAAATTATATATATATATATATATATATATATATATATATATATTATATATATATATATATATATATATATATATATATATATATATATAAATCTGGAACTCATGAAACTAGTAGGACTAAGTGCATAAGCATCACCATTTGTCCAGTCTATTTTAAAGGGAACTGATCACACCAGTTGAGTTCCCAGGCATGGTTGCTTCACCGAAAGAAACAGGACTGTGCATGCTTTGTAAATGTCGCTCGCATCACATCACCTGTGTGCACGAGTGATCATCCTCTCATTCGGTATTCACCTGCTTTCTTTTGCTCGCATAAACACTGCTATTTTTGTCAGTTGTGCTGCTCCTCGATTCTAAGATCACATTTGCATGCATATTGGGCGATCTTTATAGTCGAACCCTGCTTTTAAAAAAGCTACAATTTGAAAATGATTTCCAAATAGTCAAAGTGGCTAGTGGGAGTGTCTGTCTAAGCCGTCACAGCTGAAATCTACCCGCATTTGGCAGGTGTTAATGTCAAGCCCTGGTTGTTGATACTGTATACTAGATTTAGATTGTCCATTTTAATATTAATATCTGATATATTTTCAGACCTAATTTCTTCCGAGATGTCCAACCCAACAACAGTAAATGTAATTGGTAGTTAATCAGGTTCTCCCTTTTCATTTACTGGTGAAAGCAATGGTGCCAGTTTGGAGAAGATCTGTGTATGGATGGGGGAATGGCAGATCAAGGCTGTCAGAGCTTGGCTTTCAGATGGTAGAGAAGAAACCTTCGGAAAACCATCTGGACAACAACAACAAGAGTTTGTGTTTTCACCTGGTGAGTGGTTCACCTCATTGTCCCTTTGGGGGAATGATGAAGGAACACGTCTTGGAGCCATCAAATTCAAGACCATGGACAGTCAAGGAAATGCAAGAGAATTTTTTGCGAAGATGACGGGCAGAGCTTTACCAGCAGAATGTCAAATAGATGTCGGCTCTGGTTATTGTCTTGGTATTGAGGGAAGATCAGGTTTAGACATCGACTGCTTGGGGTTCAAATTTCTCAATGCAGTTCAATCAGCAGTTCTCACCAATGTCAACTATCCAACCATCAACCAGCTGATCCCAAAGGTGGCAGTGGAAGAGATCAAGTCCATGACTTTCAGAAACATCAGTACTGCCGTTCAACAAGAAAAAATTGAAATGTCAAAGAAAGTGACCGTGACATCCTCATGGTCTCTGCTTCTGAACCTGACAGCAGCATTCGGCGTGGATGTGCAGGCTGGGATTCCAGAGATTGGAGAAGTTCAAAACAATTTCAGTGTCAGCATTACACCAGAAAGCTCTTTTAACCGAGAACACACAAAAGAGAAAAATCAAACGCTGTCTAGCACTATTGATGTGCCATCAAATAAGAAGGTGGATGTTAGCATCACCATTGGCAGAGCCAGTTTTGATCTGCCGTACACCGGCATGGTGAAGATCACATGCACGAATGGCAGTGAGTTACAGTACGAAACCAAGGGCCAGTACAAAGGTGTCGCCTACACTGATGTTAAAGTGAAAACAAATGAAAGTGATGTTGTCTAGACAGATTGTCCTTGTTAAGATACTTATTTCTTGATTTTACATATGAATTTGCACACTGATTCTAAATGTAACTGAAACATTCTTTGTTGTTTTTGGGTGATCTGGGGAGTATAAAATATTATCCTTTCTGTTTCTGGTACATGTGAAAAAAACAACAATAAAAACATACAATATTGATACTCATGGTATGTATAATGTTTCATATTCATTTCAGAATTTCAATGTTAATCTAAAATTCATTGTCATACAATCATTGTCTTTTTCTACACTGTTGTAAGGACAACAATATGAAGTAGTTCTAGTTTAAAACACATGTCGCCATCTAGGAATTAATGGCACCATATTTAACTAAGTTTTTCAATAACAACAGATATAATCCAGTTTCAAGCTGATCAACTTTATGAAACTCATTATATACTCACTAAACCAGTTATATTAAAAGAAGAGCTGCGAGACCTGCATAGGGAGTTTATGAGTAGTTAAGAATGGGTTAATGATGATGGGCCCCTATAAGTAGTCCCAATACAATAATACAGTATCATATCATGACCCAATGGTTAAACTAAGCAAAAACTAATATAGTAATTGTGGAGAGGTAAGCGTGATCGAACACCCAATAAGGGGGGAGAGCATGCTAGGAGCCCGGCGGCTAATCAGCGGGTCAATCAGAAATGATAAATAACACCTGTCTTTCTAGTGATTGGGCCGGAGAGACTCCCTTCTTAAGGAGAACGGGAGGAGCAGTCGGGAGAGGAGAGAGCACACACACACACAACGATACATGAGTGGTGGCATTTAACCATAAATAAAATATTTGCTTACCTGAATCGCCGACCCCGTCTTCTTCTTCCCTCAACAACGAACATTATTACAGTAATTAATTCATTAAATTACAAACAATCTGTGTACTAACAAGTAGGCTAAATAAGGTAGCTGTTATTCACACAGAACTCTTGTGACTCACGTTGTGAAGCTCACTGCCTCTATCATCCAGGGCCGGAGTGGGACTCATTTTCAGCCCTGGAGTTTCAAGCCAGACCGGCCCACCTCAGTTCACGACTGATTCCAATTCAGTTACTAATGGCACTATCACGTCTTTTTCAAGAAAACTGCTGCTTTAGAAATTCAAATGTTCAACAGCCCTAACAGTATTTTATGTCTTAACAATAAAATCGAAAAAAAAAAAAAAAACAGATTTATCATGGGAGATTCGATCACAGGTCTGCGACATTAAAATGCAATGTGCTTACCACTGGACCACATTGGCGCTATTACAGTGAGAGTAAAAAATAACTAATGACTTGCGACCCTTAAGACACAGCACTACTTTCTTTTTTTGATGGCTCAATCTTTTTCTCCTATTTTTAGATTTCTGATCAAGTTATATCAGATTTATTAATGTAGTGAATCATTTGATTTTCATTGAGCAGGTGTTTTATTAATTTTATTCGAATTCTTATATTCACTAAGGTGCCGCTGTTTGGGGCGATAGTTGCATTACATCATCATCATTAACGTTAGTTAGCCTGCAGGCTGCATTTTTCTCACGGGGCTGCGAGAAAATAAATAAAAAGAGCGGCACTACGGTAAAATAATGATTAAAAAGAGTAAAGCTATGGTCAAATAAATAAATAGAAGAAAAAAAGTGTGACTGCTGAGAGTGCAAGCAGCTAGGGACACCAGCCCTCGCGGCCAAAAAACAGACCGGCCCACCGGGAAATCTCCCGGTCCTCCCGATTAGCCAATCCGGGCCTGCTATCATCCATCATTAGTTTATAATTAGGTGATGTTTAGTTATTACATATTAACACATCATTACTCGTGTACTGTTATTGTAAAATTTTACCAATAAAACACCTAGCAGAGATGTGTGTGATGAGCCCGAGGATCAAACTGGTGTCTCTGGTATGGCAGTGTTTTACTGTTAAGCCACAGGGAGAGCTGATGAACCCAATTGCCAAGGCACAAGGTCTAGTTCAAAAAAAGGTGTTTATTCAAGAAATCCAAAATCATCAAAAAAAAAAAAAAAAAGCTGCCAGGCTAAAACAAAGGAAGTCTACAAGATAAGCAGGTAACTAATAAAGTTCTCCGTAGAGCAAAGGGTACTTTAGCCAAAAACACTAATGAAGAAAGTTAATGACTGGAGGACTTACGACAACGGCGAGAGCACATCAAACTCAAAAACCAAGTGACAAGCAAAGACAAGAGGGTAGAATAAAGAGGCTAGTCTAACAAGACACAGCTGAACCGAATTAACACAAATGAACCTCAAACAGAAACACTGGGGAAAATGGCGACATCATGTGGAGAAAACAAGCAATAGCTCAGAATATGACAATGTGAACACATTAATTGCTTAAAGAGCCCTTATTATACATGAAATAGGGTCATATTTTGGTTGTAAGGGTCTTCAACAACAGTCTAATATGCATGCAAGGTCAAACAACACTTTCATGGTCTTATAATCTGCATTTATTTTACCTAATTATCCCAGCGACTCCCATATGAATCGTTTAGCGATTCATTTGTTCCCACACCCTTCCTTAGCGCAAAGCTAATCTGCGCCGATTGGACCAATGACAGTCTGCTGCGATTGGTCGACACTGACAGCCTTCAGCGCGAGACAGAGTAAAATGCATAGCAGCTAATCAACAATATAGAAGTAGCCACAGTGCATACACACTCGGGGCTGGCGCATCCATAGAGGAAACCTAGGCGGTCGCCTAGGCCAGCAGAATAGAGAGTGCGGCATCTGCGACATCTCCTTCGCCACCCGCGTCCTCAGTTTTGTCTGCGACACCTCTCACCACCCGCGTGCTCAGTTATATGAGTCTTAACACATGATACGAGAATATAAAGAGTTAACCTGATACAGTACACACGGTCAAAAGGAACAAAACACAATGAAATGCCTAATTTTCAAGCTAGAGTAAACGAGGCAACAGTTTTAATCGCACGTACTTACACTTGTAAAATGGAGGAAGAAACTAATCCATGATGCACTGATCCATGTTCTGACTGTAGTCTGTTCTGATGCTTCCTTCAACAAACGGCCGATGAAGTCTTCTTTGTAAGCATGTAGTTTCCAGAAGTACGTTGCAGCATAAGTCTCAGAGATGCTGGAATGGGGTGCCTTGGCTACAAGATCCCCATGATATTTGTCCATTTCCTTTAAATACTCAACTCAGATCAAACAGCCAGGCACATGCACACATAGGGGTCAAACTGTGCAGTGCATATGCCCTTTTTAGTCTTGGATAGAAAGTGCCCTTCCAAAATGATCAAAAGTGCCCCCGCGACGCGACACCCTCGGTCCAGCCCTTCAGTAGGCGCGCGACAACACCGCTCTTGAGTACAACACAGCTGATCAGAACGCGTGCGCGCAACAGCACCCCCACCCCCCCCACCCCGCTCTTCAAAAAATTTATCCTGCACATGCCCTTTAGACGGTCTCTGCACGGGCCTGCAAACAGCGATAAATTAAAGACAATAGAAGCGCCACCGAGACACTTGGCTGGTGAGTTTGAGGAGTTAACCATCTCTAAAGAGGGGGAGAATCTGGCAAAGACCTTATCCAAGCCAAAAACCAAATCAGCATATATAAGTGAAATATTACTGTGAAATTAAGACCATTTTACCAATCACACAGAGACATTTAAAAATAACACCAAGCATGAGTATAGAGTTAAAAGATACGCCATATTAAACCCTTGGACATTTAATATGAAAATGTAAATGATTTACTCTAATCAGAAGGTAAATTAACCGAATCCAGCACTGAACTTGGAGAGATTCTGGAGCTGTTGTGTCAAATCATGCTTGCTCTGTATTTTATAATTCTCTAAACCATATTTAATATTGAACTGTTAGCACTTCTGTCTTTGTGTCATGTCATTTGGAAGCCTAAATACAGAAACAGAGAAGCTCTGTGGAAATAGCAGCATTTGGACTCCATTTTATCTCCCTCTGCTGTAACATTACAGCGCCTCTGGCCACGCACCTTAGCTGCGCAGTGTGTGTGCGCGGTAAAAGTACGTTTGTGATCTCACAGGCCCGGAGGTATTTTTTTGTAGTTTATACCTGTCAACATTGGGATGTAACAATAAGGGATATGCCCACCATAATAGGGGATTCCCCCGACCCCCTTTAAAAAATCTCCAAATTACTAAATATGCTCATTTGAAGCTGTTTCGTTGTAAATAAACAGTTAAATGGTCAGTAATATGTCTGACCATAAATATAAATATATACATTAGCAGCAAATACATTAGCAAAGAGTTCAGTTTCTTAAAATTAATAGCTATTATAATGAAACAGAATCAAGCTAAATCTCATTAGCCGTTTCCTCTCTGTATAACTTACACATTCTGATTAAAGAGTGACGAATGAATGATTTATTTAGATTTTTTCATTTGATTACATTAAATAAGAGGTGTCACTTTAAAAATGCACACATCTAACATTATAATGAAAGCATCTGACTGCTTTCCTAACTGTTTATGCTCATTTAGGACGAAATTACTTGTGTTTGGAAAAAAAACAAAACACCAAGATCAACATCTTTAGATTTTATTATTAGTATATCTGTTTAAACACGCACCCAAAACCCGAACTTTTGCTCCGCTTCAAATCACGTGTACAGAATCCGTTTGGGAAACAGCATCTATTTATCACTATGTAGTTCGTCTGCTGACCGTCATGCAGCGCTATGACTGTTTTGAGGATTGCAAATGAAGGGGAGACGGCATCTGTAATGAAAATGAAGGGGATCATGCTTTTTTATATTTATTTCAAAGTGTTTTCATGCCTAAACAAAGTGAAAGCACAGAACAGACTCACATTTAAAAGCAAGGGGCGGCCCCTGGTTGTTCGGCAGTATGGGTTGCGTATGGGGAGGCTCGACTCTTTAAATGTTTATTTGCCACCCTTCAGAGAAACACTGAAAATACGGTTTAAATACGGGAAAATACCTTTACGAGATGATATCGGGATAGAACTGTAAAATACGGGAGAATCCCGGGGAAAACGGAAAGGGGTCTGGCTGCAGACCTGGTGCAGTGCAATCTGGGCTGCATCCAATGCTTTTTAATGGGCTCACCTAACCCCAACCCTAACCCTACCCGTCACCGGGGGCAGACTGGCCATCTGGCAGACCGGGCACTTTCCCACTGGGCCGATGTACTTTTTGGGCCAGGCTGATCATCGTCTTATGATCTGATCGGCCCATAAAAGGCTTATCAGCCTATCATTTTTTCTGCCTTATTAATTGACACTGCTGTGATCTGTGACTCTCTGAAAGTAAAATGCTTTTTTCCCGGACAGACAGACCGGGCCGGCCCATGTGACACTCTGTAGCCCATTGGTTCTTTTCTGTATTGACATTGGGCTGGCCCAATCACAAACTCCTATTTTTAACTCTGTGTGAGCGTGCGTCATCTGTGTGTATTTGTCAAAATAGTCGAGAGTCAGAGTGAAGAAACGCAAGGGAGGCGCAGAGAAATCGCGGGAAATACATTTATTTCATTTATTCGTTTCATTTAGCGGTTCTGAAAAGTTCTCCGTTCATTCTAGTACACGGCTAAAAACGCAAATCACGTGACCACACACTCTGCCAAGAGCTGCAGCCAGTAGTTCAGCGGGTGAGCATAAACCCCAGGTGAGAGTATAGTGCATGTCAGACAGTTCATCTGCTGGATGATCTCATCTCACTATATTTGTTAAACGTGATATTGAATTCATCTTGTTTTCTATCTAACAATTCTTATGTCTTTTGAATCACTTGTTCTCAGTTAACTGTTTTGGCTGAGTGCAAAGATAAGCTGATATATTAATTTATGTAACACACTGATTCTGCACATTGACTGATTGCTTACCTTTATCGTTTAAATTTAATGTACGTTATACTGTTATAATGGCCATTATTGATTATTAAAACTGATATTCTGCAAAAGAGACGGGTTAAAGTTTGTTCTTTTCAATGAAAATGAAAGGAGACAGTTATATTTAAGCCCTGTTTTTTTATAAATATGCAGAGTGAATATGACGGTCATTTAAATGTGTAGCTACATGAGGCTGTTTGGTGTCTGTTAATCATAATATCAAAATGAAACACATTTACTTATATTATGTTTTCATTGTTTAGATAGTGAAACATCAAGCAGGATGAGGTGAATGAGGTTATAAAGTACACTGTTCCCTTTGAAGATTTACCCATGCATTAGCAGGCAGTTTGTGTTATGTTTATTGTTTAATATAGGCTGAGTGAATAGTGTATTGAATAAGCTAAATTGGCTGTAGCGTATGAGTGTGTGTGAATGAGTGTGTATGGGTGATTTCCAATATTGGGTTGTGGCTGGAAAGGCATCTGCTGCATAAAACGAGCTGGAATAGTTGGCTGTTCATTTCGCTGTGGAAACCCCTGATAAATAAGGGACTAATGCGAAGAAAAATAAATGAATGAATAGTGTATTTTTTAGAACTCAACAAATATCTTTATGGACAGTAAACAGAAATTAAATTGAGATTAAAGTTTGTATTTATTTATTTATTTCATATATATGGCTTTTGTGTTTTATAAAATATGAGTTGATAAAAATATTAGACGTGCATAGATAGATAGCATTTTGATTGAATGTAGTGGGCTGCGCTGGCCCAAAATGCCAGGGTCGATTTTTTGCCCCAGTCCAGCCCTGCCCGTCACAGTGACGTCACTAGCTCCATTTGAGTGCACTGTGTCTCACATTGCATCGCTGAGTGATGCAATCTCAGTTTGCACCATAAAGGCTGCATCCAGATACTATTAGAAAAACGGGAGGGTTGACAAGTATGGTAGTTCCTAAAATTCATTCATTGTAGGCTTTGCTAACTCTGTACAGGCCAAGGTCTCCTCTTGCATTGAACTTTGAGCCTTTTACATTCAGAGATGTTGTTTATGTTCACACCGCTACATTACACATCAACTACGGTCTAAAATATGATATTGTAGTGGACCACCCCTTTAAAATGCATTATTTATCCAAAGTTCTGTCATTTTGGTGGAAGCAGCTTTTGTGTCAACAATAATATCTGACTTTTTACATCTGCAAATGTTTGACTGTCATCTGACAGGAGTATGAGTCTGGAGATATGCATATTGGTAATAAAAAGGAAGCCCAAAAAACAAAAAAGCATACAAATGTTTTCTAGGATTTTTTTTTTTGGTTTGTTTTAAGCAATTTTTAAGCACATACACATGCATAACATATGCAATAACATTTAATGAAACAACACCAATAAACAAAATAAAGTTAATTTTAAATGATTTTTATTAAAAGTCTGATTTAACATTTGAAAGTATTACATGAAGTAAATATCATGATCTGTGAAAAACATTCGGAAACTATGATGCTATATGACCATTTTGTAACAGCATCTAATGTTTATTTAAAAAAACAATGCTGTATATATATTTAATCCTTTTAAAGTCATTAAGTAAAGACTCAATAAAATGGATCAGAGGACAGAGAGCATAGACAGAAATCTAATAGACCCTAATAAAGGTAAATCAACTGATATTAGAGATCTGTTTCTACACTATTCTCTTTGACATCGGTGTAAGCGACGCCTTTGTATATGCCCTTGGTTTCGTACTGTAACACACTGCCATTCTTGCAAGTGATCTTCACTGTGCCAGTGTACGGCAGGTCAAAATCAGCTCTGCCAATGGTGATGCCAACAGTCACCTTCTTCTGTGGTGGGACATCAATAGTGGAGGTCAGAGTTTTGCTTCTCTCATCTGTCTCCGCAAGACTATGGGTGCTTTCTGTTCCAACACTGACACTGAATCCTGAAGAAACTTCGACAACTTCTGGAATCCCAGCACTCACTTCCATGCTGAATGTTGTTGAAAGGCTGCTATCCATAGACCATGAAGATGTTTTGATCACTTTCTTTGAGCTTTCGATTGATTGCTGTTGAGTTAAAGATGTTTTGTTCTCGAAAGTCAACGACTTGATTTCGTCTGCTGCCACCTCTGCCATCTGCTGGTTGATGGTGGGATAGTTAACATTGGTGAGAACTGTAGACTGAACGGCATTAAGAAACATGAACCCCATGCAGTCGATGTCTCCACCTGATCTTCCAACGATGCCAAGACAATAACCAGAGCCGACATCAATGGGATATTCTTGTTTTAATCCCCAATCTGTCATTTTTACAAAAAAATTTCCATCATTGCTGGTCTTGAATTTGATGGCTCCGAGACGTGTTCCTGCTCCGTTCCCCCAGAGGGACAGTGAGGTGATACACTCTCCAGGGGTAAACACATACTCTTGATGTGGTCCAGATGGTTCTCCAAAGGTTTTATTTCTACCATCTGAAAGCCAAGCCCTGACAGCCTTGATCTGCCATCCTCCCACCCAAACCCAGATCTTCTCTAAACTGGCACCACTTTTTTCACCAGTAAATGAAAATGGATGACCCGTTTGACCACCAATTAACTCTAGTGTTGTTGGGTAGGCCATCTCTGAAGAAATTAGGTCTGAAAATCACATAAAAAATGATCATCAGATTTTTAATATTTATCTATAGAAGACATTCAAGATGTCCATCGCAGGACTTATACTCACATGAATGACTGGGGTCTGATGAACTTCTCAAGAGCAGCTCGTCAAAATGCTGGGCAAGTGAAAAATCTTTGATTGAGCTGCCGCTTATATAGATCTGGAAAACACACCTCGAATCCATGAGTCAGAGATCTGCGCAAAAATGACAAAAAAATACTTGGTGATTAATAACCATTCCTATTCTGACGAGTTCATGAATCAAGCTTGCATAAGAAATCAAGATTGAGAAATCAAAATGACATTTCCGATAAACTTTTAAGCCTTGGGGGTTTATGGAAAGTTTGGGGCACCAGAGATGTTTTGGCATGCCCTGACATTTGTGCTTTTACAGGTTCTTATATATATGAACTTTCAATTCCCTGATGTAATGAAAAAAGCTTTGATCACACACACACATATATGTATATATATATATATATATATATATATATATATATATATATATATATATATATATATATATATTAGTGCTGTCGATCGATTAAAAAAATTAACTAATTAATCGCACCTTTTTAAAAAAAACTATCGCGATTAATCACATTTAAAATACTGAAACTTATAATTCTGGCTCTTTAAATGTAAAATTAATGTAAACGCAAAACAAAAAATATTTAAATTCAAAATATTATTGTTTAATAGAATTTTTGTTTAACTTGTAACACAGATTTCTTCATGTAAACAACATACCCAGAATAAACCATCAAGATCCTGGCTAGACAGCCATATTTATTACAGAAATTAAAACACAGGCATGTTAATGATATTTAAATTTCAAAACAATCAATGCCAATAAATAAAATATTGATTTCCATGTTGGATTCTAAGTGGACTGCAAAAAAATGCCAAAACACGGGCATTGCAGATATGGAAAATGAAAAATAATAATAATAATAAACTATAGAATACAAACTGTTGCACTCATTGTAAAGTTTTATTGCTGTGAGTTGAGAACATTAGTTATAGAGTAGAAACAATTTTGCTTAATCCTCCTTTACATTCATCCAGTTGCTAAGACTAGGAGTATCCCGCAAGTGCACAGAGACTCCCAAATGCCCTCAAATCAATGATAATTTCTTGCAAACCGGTCATTAAATATATTGCACACCCCTCTCGCCCCTACTCAGATACGTCGCTCACTCCACCCCTGACACCCCTCAACAGGCCTGACACAGACACACACACAGACAGACACACATAACGCGCTGCAGACGTTTTGGCCCCAACGGCCTTCCATACTGGAGCGACTCCTCTCAGATTCAACACGCATGATCACGTTCATCAAATTTGCTTAAACTAAGCGTCCTAAAGTATTACTGTATTTCACAAGGATTCTGACACAACAACGCGAAGCATACGCTTTCGTTGCGTTTAATGAGGAAACACGCTAAACTTGGAGGGCTCATGCTGAAAGGCAGAGTAATGCCTTGTCTTTGACAGCTCCCGACTTCACCAAAGACGTTCTGAGTACATTTACATAAGACACCAATACTCCGATTTTAATATGATTAAGATAATACTCTTATTAAAATTCTACTGTGTAGCCTTAAAAGGAACCTTACCTTAAAGGAACACCGAGTCACGAAATGTGGAGGATTTTCTTTCTGTTCGCCATGCGGTATCAACTTACAACAGAAGTCGAAAGTTAAAAATAAAACACCCGAAATTGCATGAAACTCTGGATAACCTGTGATGCAACTAATTGTTTTATACTGGAACTTGCCTTCAAAAGGTGCTTCCTTGGTCTTATCCACATTTATTGCATGCTGAACACACGTCCACCACAACAGGAAGTAAAAAAACCTGAACTGCGTTAATTGCTTTAATTTTTTTTAACGCGTTAATGCATGTGATTAATTTAAAATAATTAACGCGTTAAAAAAAATCATCTGTTAAAAACATCTGTTAATTTTGGCAGCGCTAATATATATATATATATATATATATATATATATATATATATATATATATATATATATATATATATATATATATATTAGGGGTGTAACGATATTATAACCGAACCGAAATATCGCGATACACCAGCCACGATACGTATTGCGAAACTCTCGTGGCGTATCGCGGTACTCTCACTCCCCTGCTGCCCATTGTTGAGGTTGATGTCACTTGTCTCTAACTAATTGAACCAATTTAAACACATCTTTATTATCACATTTAATTAAATTGTTTTAGTAATGATGAGGTTTTGTTCTAAATATTATATTCTAAAGTTAGTATTTTAGTGCATGTCATGTCATGTGACTTGAGTGAGCATCACACTCGTTACTACTGGACGCAGGATGGCTGCTTTACATAGTACTGAGATTGCAGATCCCCCAGACACATTTAAGTCATCTGTGTGGAAACATTTTGGTTTTCCAGTTGAGTACAGGAATATAATTCGTGTCGTAGACAAAGCGCCTGCCTGTCTGTCTTAACTGTTTCACGAAACTTACTTGTAAGGAAAAACATTTAAAAAGTGTGGTAATTTCACAATGTGAGGGTGTAAGCAACAGAACTGCCAACAAAAGTGATTTAATGTACAAAAGTGAAACCAGAATAATGCCCAAATATACAAAAAAAGAGAAATATTTACACTAATAAAAATAATATAATAAAGTAGCAAATTCAAACAAAAGTATCAAACAAAAATTAGTTAAACTCGAGCAAGGGGGTGATAGTGAGAACAAACAAAAGAAATAAATATAATAAAACAATTCTAACTCATGAATAACCCCTCTTACCTCGCTAAAACTGATGAAAAGAAAAAAAAGGTCTTCAGCGCCGAGCGCCGCATTCTTCCCTATACTGAATAAAATAAACAAAGATGACCTTCACCTCTTACCTGATGTCTTTAGCAATACATTTTCTACGTGTTTGCAAAATGGAAATCGTATGACATTTTCCCTATTCACCTTACACTAAGAGTGAACAGCCTATATTGTCGGGAAGGAGCGGATCCAAAAAATAATATACAAATCAATTGAAATTAAAATGTACAAACCTCATAAAATTACTTAAAGTGGGCAAAAGTAATGCAAAATAATTTTGCCCAAACGAAAGTTAAGCAAAAACAACGGAAATCAAAATCATGTCAAAAAAATACACGAAAAACGAGATCAAAGAAAAAAGCGCTCTCTCTCCCGCTCTTCCTGAATTGCTTTTCACATTCCCGCGCTGCGTCACCAAATGATGATAGATCGGTCTCCTGACCAATCAGCTGTCATGAAGGCGGACCTACAGAAATGACCGGCATAGAGAGAGAGAGAGAGAGAGATCGGGAGGCAAACATACAGCCGGCTACAACCCTAACATTAGTTTCTGACACAACCGCAATGTATTTTACTGGTGAATATGTCATGTAAAAACACTTTACAAACACATTATATGTATATTTTTTCATTAATTTAAACGGAAACCTATCTATCTAACTGAAACTATAGATAATCAAAAATGAGCGTCTGTGTCTGCACAGCCATCAAGTCTCTCATCGGAGAATGTGGATATTATGGTGTTTTTGAAGAAGATCTTTCACTAGTCTACACTGCAGTTATTTATTTAATTTTAGTTTACTTAGTTAAGATGGCTGCACTAAAGAAAATTGTTTTTTTCTGACTAGTCTATATTGGAGGTATTTATTTAATTCTAGTTGTTTACTCGGGTATCCTGACTGTACTAAAAATGTGATGACAAAGTTAATAAAGAAAAAGTTAAGATGTTCTTTTTATTAAGTGAATTGTCCCTTAGCATTGCTGTTAATATGACATCAACCCTAACCCCACAGCAAACAGAAACCGAACGGTACCGAACCAAACCGTGGCTCCAAAACCGTGAACCGAACCGAACCGTGCCTTTGGTGTATCGTTACACCCCTAATATATATATATATATATATATATATATATATATATATATATATGGCAAAAACCACTGCAACATGACATGAATGTTTTAGCTTATTTTTGGTGCAACTTGAATAAATGTATCACTGGAATTATACATTTTGCATCAGGTGCATTTAGCTGTGAGTTTGTGATGTATTTTTTATTGAATTTATGGTAACACTTTACAATAAGGTTCATTAGTTAATGCATTTACTAGCATGAACTAATCGGGAACAACACTTGTGCAACATTTATTAATCATAATTGAACATTTACTAATGCATTATTAACATCCAAGTCCATGCTTGTAAACATTAATTAATGTACCATAAGTTAACATGAACTAACAATGAACAACTGTATTTTCATTAACTAACATTTACTAATGTAACCACGGGGAGTGACACTGATAACAGGAGGTAGGATCCAAATGCAAGTTTAATTGTAGTCAGGCAAGCAATGGTCATTACAGGTGTAATCAGGTAAATTGAGAGAGTCCAGAATGGTAGTCATATAACAGGCGGCAGACTAAGACAAAAAAACGGCTAACAAGGCTAGGGTCAAAACACTGGAAAACAAGACAAGGAAAACGCGTTGTAGTGTTACTATTACAGTTAACAAGACTCTGCAAACTGAAAGGGTGAATGAGTGGCTTATGTAGTGAATGCAATCAGTCTCTGATAGTCCACAGGTGTTGGGAGTGTAATCAATCTAGATGAGGGAGCATGGGTGTAGGCGAAGTGCATGGCTGCGTCCGAAACCGCCTACTACTCAGTAGGTACTGCATTTGAATTTAAACGTACTACTCGGCCGTTAGAAAAGTACGTTCTATACAGTATGAATGTGAAAAGCATGAATGGAATTCGGACGTACTACATCTGCCATTTTGTCATGGTCATGTGACCTACCTGCGTCAGTTGCGTCGCCTCACTTTCATTCAATTAATTCTCTTCTCGCCTACTGATTTTTGAATTCTATGAATTCGGACATACTACTCGGCTCGCATACTGATTTTAGCGTACTATATAGTATGGACGTATGCGGTTTCAGACGCAGCCCATGTCTGAATATATAGTCCAGGAAAAGGCGGAAGTGTAGTCCATGGTTTGTTGTGAGTGAGAACCAGCGATCTAGTGGAATACAATCGCTGGTAATCGTGACAACTAACATGAATAAATACTGTAGTAAATGTA